TTAAAGTTACTAATAATTATTTAAGGAAAATGAATCGTAATTGATAATTAATTTAGCTCTGATCTATAATACCAACGTTGTGGGTATTCATTTAATTAACCATCATAATAATTAAATCCAACCATCAATGCACAACAAAACAAATAACATTAATTAAAATTGGATAATATCTGAAATAATTTTGTTTATTACAAGCTGTTGTTAATATCTATGCACAAGTCTGGTGTGAAGTAGCGCCAATACTGACTATATTTGTATTACGTGCTTTTGCATAACCTTAAAATTATGGAGAAGTGCTTTCAAGTGATTAAAAAACTAATACTAAGTCATCAAATAGTTAAATTAACTTTACAATTAATCACAATACGACTGATAAGAGCTGTTAAATAATTTCTTCTCATTTTATCATGCCCACAAATGTAGGTCAACAAATATAAAATAAACGGTATTTAACTTACTTAAAGAAGGTAATCTCAAATGATAAAAAAAATAATACCACAAAAAACTTTAAAATACCATACAAAGATAGAAATTTATGTCATGCCAATCCAATTTTGATTTAATTATAATTTGCATGATTATTATCTTTTATACATTAATCTAACTTATTTAGTTTGCTATCGTTACATTGAGTAATTGGATTTACACTCTTTTTCATCCTAATTTACTTATCAAAGGCATTAAACTTGCTTTAAAAAATATAAAGAAGCAACTAAAACATTAGAGCACTCAGAAGTATTTTATTTGTTCCTCTACAAATTAAAAGCTCTTTCACTGTGACCACGAATTATAGATTAAATGTTCTATGCATGCTTAGTTAAAGTGAGATTAATTATTATTTCGCAATTATGTTTGGTACCCCATATGATGTAGAGCAAACACACTCTCATCTATATTATTAAAAGAATTCTTTTGTGTGCAGCAAATCGACCCTTAAATATTTATTTTTATATGCATATTGGGTATCAATTTAAAGCTCTTATCATCTAGAGATGTGCCTTTAGCTGATGTGAAAGTCCTTCGACCTTAAGGCTTTTAAAATTTATTAGTATGTGCTGAATTCTGTTGTCAAACCTCTGAACTTTTTCAAGTTTACACTTGTTTGTAAAATATCAAAACATATGGCCATGATACGATTTTGTTTACATCCATACGAAAATGGGGTAGTCTGTAGTTGGTGATGTTTCAGTGAATTTAAGTAAAATATTGTAATATAATTTGTTTATGTAAAGAAGAGAATTATTTAGGCATACGTTAGATATTGAATTGTGAGAGGGTTTTTATGTTTTCATAGTACGTTTTATTGATGTTTTAGGGAATAATTCAAGTAAAATATTGTAATGTAATTAGTGTAAAATCTAAAGAAGAAAATGAGTGACGTTAGTTTTTTTTATTTTCATTGTATGTACCTATCATTATTATTTCTAATGTTTCTGAGATTCCTCGAAGATATCGCGCACGCAATGCTAATAACAGCGATATGATAAAACATAATCGTTATCACCCTTATCAACTATTTTTTTATTTAGAAAACTGAGTTTATTAATAAACTTTGCCTATTAGACACAGTAAAATAAACTTAAATTTATGATATAAATACTATGTAACCTAGATTAATGACGTTGTCCATATAAATGATTTTGAATGATTTTACATGATTCTTTTAACACTTTTAGGACTATTTCATTTTTTAATTTTGGTGGAAGATTATTATTTTTTAATTCTTCAAAAAGTTTTGTAATAGTCCCTCTTGCACCAATCATTATGCCAATTACTGATATAGAATTTAGATTATATTTGTTTCTTAAATAAGTTTCACATTTACTAAAAATTTTCCTCTTTTCTTCATCTACTTCTAGGGGTTGATTTGTTGATGTTTCGAACCTTATAGTTGGATCAATTACAATTCCACTTTTAGATTTTGTATCATATATTAAAATGTCCAATCTTCTGTTCGTTCCACCATCTTCGAAGTAATGTATTTCTTCTACTACTTGCCAGCCTTTTTTCGTAGTTCTTCTGCGATCATTGCTCTTACAGCATGGTGTCTTGCATTACGCAGTAAGGCACCAAAGGGACAAGAGCCAAGGACATGCGGAAGGGTTTCAGGCTCCTTGCAATGTCAGCAAAGGGTTCCATCCTGGCTTCGCCCTGGTACGCTGCGTACTGGTACAACACCAGATATCATTTTTAATTAAGTGATCCATTCTCCTGTAGTAAGGCCATTTTTTTAATATATCCATAGTAAATATGTCGCGGATTTTTAAGTCCCGAAGTGAAACAGGTTGCTAGTTTATTTTTATCATCCTTATGTTTCAGCTTAAGATAGTTTTAAGGTTAATTGTGTTTGATTTTCGTAGAGGGTATTTTGTTTTCTCCTATTTGTTTCCTGTCATTTAACTAATTTTAAAACAATTTTTTATCTAACGAAAACTATCTATGAACGATCTATTATGAACAATTGCTTGGTCTCATGCATTATAACTAAAGGTTAAGGCAAAGTATGTCAAATATAGCCTAAAATAAGAGTAGAACATATAGTTAACATTATCGCACTTACAAGCCTCAGGCTTCAAAATTTATAATAGTATGAGATGTGTAGGTTTACTTGCAAAAAAAATCTATTTCAAACTCAAATACGTACATTACAAGACTCGTAAGAAAATTGCTGGTGAATTCTTCTCTAAATCAAATACTAATGCTTAAGAAAAGCTACAGTCTGAGCCAACAATTGTTTATGTATATACAATCTACTATAATTACTTGGCAAGCAACTCACCTGTTTAAACAAACACATTATGCAATTTATCTATTTAATCTGCATTCTCTTATTAGGTATTTAAATCGTTGTTTCAGTTGAGAATGGAAGCAATGAAAATATTGCGATATCTAGTTAATACTTCATGTAATTTAAAAAGTTATTTAAGAGTGCAATCTAAGTAATGGCAAATTCTCAAGTGTGTGTACATGATTTTACCGAGATTAAGTACCAGTTTTAATGGTTCAAAAATTGATTACGTTGTGAACAATCTAAAATAATTCAGAGTTAATGAGTTTAAATTTATACAATTGCATAAAAAAATACATTAATAATAGACCTTCTGGTATAATACTGATTTCATTATTTAAAATAGTTACCCTAAATGAGGTTAGGTTTTGTTTCTAAACTCATATTATTTTGAAAGATACTCACACTGGTTAGAATGCATTGCTTGTTAATTTTTGAAAATAACCATAAGTTGATCTCCTTTAGGTTTAAGTATTTATTAAACCATTATTTACGGAATAAAACCTGTTATTTTATGTAACTCATTCATTATTTTGTATTTGTATATTTACTTGTTCTATATGGCATATTAAACGTGTCGTCCTAACCAAGTAGACACCAAACTATAAATCGTAAAAGTATAAAAAATTACATAAATACATAAAACCATATCAAAAGATGGTAAGTGGAGATCGATTTCGACTGGACACTCGATCAGACGTTTTTCTAATAGGCTCTTGATCAGACCAAATAGGCGAATTCAATTCCTTTTCGCCTATTGGGTCTGTTGATGATTGGAGCGTCCAATCGAAATCGATCACCACTTAGCATCTTTAATATGTATTTACCGTGTTGTGAGTCAACAGTATAAGTGTAAATATATTATTACAACTGTTAGGTGGCGTATTTTTTGTACTTTCAGGTAATTTCATAACACGTACGATGCTGATCAAGAAGTTATTATGTAGTGTATTTGTAGAATGTTGTATAGGATGTTGCGAAAGTGTTAGGTAGTTTTAGTAGAACTTACTTTGGGACCGCACTCGTAAATAGGTTGCACAAGGAATCGTTTTCAATAAATATGTCCCAATCTTATCAACAGAGTGTATAGAAATAAAACAATTGTATTGATGAAAACCTCTTACAGTTTAGTCTTAAAATTGTTTGTTTATGTAATTTTCATAGAGTTAAATTATTAACAGCTTTACCACCACTTGGAAAACTCGGATCTAACCTGGGGAGAAAACTCATTCAAACTTGTAATTGAAAAGCTTCTCTTGGGTCAGGCAATTTTCTCATAAAGACCCAATTTCTTATCTTTTTTTATTTTAATGGTATCCAATGGTATCAATGATTCAATGAGGTGTGGAGAGCTAGAATTGGTACAGATAACCATGAATATACTCCTTTAAGTTGATATTATACAGAGGCTCAAAAAACTGTTTTCGCTTTTTTTTAAGGCTAGCTGGGATTCACAGAAAAAATTAAATATTATTGTGTCTTTATGCAAATTTCCTAATAAGGAAGAAACTATTACTTATAAACTTGTACCGTAGGTGGCGTTGTAAGACCTCATTTTTAGTATTCTTTGTTCAATTTCTGTCCACAGGTGTAAGTGTATGAAAGTGCCGTGTGGCCCTAACTTTGCCTGCTTGAAAAAAATTGATTTCAGGACGTAGACCTGAGACCGATTTAATTCTTCATTTTGGTACCAACAGAGGCCGAAAATATTCGTTCTCATGTTTATTTATGTAAAATTGTTGACAATTTTCCAAATTTGTTGTCTCATGTTTACCCTTAAACATGCACATAAATTCTCAACCACCGTGTAAAAGCTTTAAAACGAATAGTTTTATGTATCGGTGTTGTAGGATTGAAGGATTCGGAGGAAATATAAAAAAAACGGTAAATTTAAAAATCCCATGTTATTCTTGGGGAGAAAAAATTTGTAGTTCGCTTCTTTATGGATATTTGCTCAAAGTTTAGCAGATTTCATATTTCAGACTATACAATGGACATTTTAAATCAAAACACCTTTGTCTTCCTTTGATTAAGCTGATGGTGACTTTGTGTTAAATAGAAAAACACAGTAAACAACAATAATTTATCTACAGGCGAAACTAAAACCAGAATAACATCAGCTGATCCATAACAATGGCAATTCTATGAGGAGTATGTTTATTATATGGTATAAGTATTCTCAATGGATAATAAAACGACCAAACTTTTTCTTAGAAACTTGTATTCGTATACATTAACATTTGTCGAACAATGGTCAATTATAACTCGTAAATTTAACCGAGACTTAAAACTATCCTAGACCTAACATTTTGGCATCAAGTAAGACTAGGCATTGGTTTGAAAGTAGTCTTGAAAACAATAATAAATAAAACGTTTTGTTTTATCAATATTTAAACATAACAAACGATTGTGATAAAATAATAGCTTGATTTACAGCATATCACATTAATAGAATATTAAATGAAATGAACAAATATATATAATATAATCAGTGCATTTGAAGACTATGTTGGGGAGAAAAATAATAACTATAAAATTGTTTTGTAGAGTAATAGTTGTAATAAGCTTAAAATGCTTTTTCCTTTTAAATATTTGTTCACCAAATCGTATTTCTTTTGCTACAATCAGATTTCAAGCGCCATTTATTTGCATGCCAGGTTTTTAATATAAATATAAATCAAAACGTATACTGTTAAAGTTATTTTTAGATTTATTATGATACATTTTAAACTCTGATTTTGTTTATTACTAAGTTATTCTCTTGGTTCTGGAGTGTTCACAAATCTTACAATAACACTATCTAATGTTGTTTAAGTAAGAAAACAATTGTATACAACAGCAAAGAAGAGTTAGTGTAAAATTACAATTACTCTTTTTAATTTTCAACACATTTAGTACATACAAAAGAATCTAAAAAGTGGTAACTTTTATTTAACAATTTACATTATCTAAAATAGTAAAATTTACATTTGTCTACATTGCTATGGAAGATATTTCTATTGTTTTGTATTTACATAAAACTACATTAACATTTTATACAAAAATGACAATTTACATATTACACAATTTACAATTAACTTACAGGCTAAGCATATTTACAAAGCTGAAGAAGTCAAATACATTTGGCGTTACAATAACGTTCGTGATTTATTACAGTCAATGAACAAATGAAAGTAATATAGGGGCTTAGAGCAAAATCGGTTGATAAAATATAAGTTAGTATTTTTTAAATTATCTATATCCATTTGTAATTAATTGATGACTAGCTTTTGATATGATAAAATCTGCATTTGTAGTCCTTCCATAGTTCTTGATTTGAAAAAGGTAAAAATTCTAACAGAATACTATAATATAATAGTATATATTACAGACATATTTTCAAAATTTGTTTTAAAAAGCCACTTTTTGACTGTTTTACTAAATATGCTAATAAATAAGATGTCATTCAGATAATTCCATAGTTGTGTTGGTTTTGGTAACAAATTAAGGTTTTCAAGTAAAATCAAATTGCAGAGGTCACAACGTTTTCTTGCGTTATGTCGTCCAATATTATGTAGCAAGAAACTATTAACTTTAAATAAAAGCAAAACAGCTTATGCAGTTTAATCAAATAAATGGCTCACTATTGGTTTATGACATTATAAATATACATTATTCATTATTTTTTACCATCTAGAATCGTTAGCATAATATTGTAAACAGATTCAATTCATGATTTGTGTACGTCCAACATAAATTATTAAAGTCATATTTTTCCATCGAAACATTCAATGAATTTGGAAAAAATACTATACTTTGTATTTATTTTACGATGTTTATAACAATCAAAACGTAACACCAAAAAGTATGTCAAACATAATATCGTACATTCTAATGGGTAAATAACAAAAACTGAAAAGTCAGGTGTAACTACTAGTGTAACTTATGAGTTCGTTGTTTGTTTAAACTCGTGTCGTGTCCCTCGACGGAGTGCAGTCCCGTCAAGAGACGCACGAGTTTTCACTGAGTTTCGAGGGTATCAGAGTCTGGACTGCCGTAGCCGCTGGACCCGTCTTCCCGCGGCACAGCGCTGGCTATATGGTCTCTCCCTGGCTGTAACATACATCAGAGAATCAGAATATGCTGGCTACGTGGTCTCTACTTAGCTGTAACAAATATCAGGGAATCAGAATATGCTGGCTACATGGTCTCTCCATGGCTGTAACAGAGATCAGAGAATCAGAATATGCTGGCTACATGGTCTCTCCCTGGCTGTAACAAATATCAGACAATCAGGATATGCTGGCTACATGGTCTCTCCTTGGCTGTAACAGACAACAGAGAATCAGAATATGCTGGCTACATTATCTCTCCATGGCTGTAACAGACAACAGAGAATCAGAATATGCTGGCTACATTATCTCTCCCTGGCTGTAACAAACAACAGAGAATCAGAATATGCTGGCTACATTATCTCTCCCTGGCTGTAACAGACAACAGAGAATCAGAATATGCTGGCTATATTATCTCTCCCTGGCTGTAACAAACAACAGAGAATCAGAATATGTTGGCAACATGGTCTCTCTCTGGCTGTAACAGACATTGAAGAATCAGAATATGCTGGATACATGGTCTCTCCCTGGCTGTAACAAACAACAGAGAATCAGAATATGCTGGCAACATGGTCTCTCTCTGGCTGTAACAGACATTGGAGAATCAGAATATGCTGGATACATGGTCTCTCCCTGGCTGTAACAAACAACAGAGAATCAGAATATGCTGGCAACATGGTCTCTCCCTGGCTGTAACGGAGATTGGAGAATCAGAATATGCTGGCTGCATGGTCTCTCCCTGGCTGTAACAGACATCAGAGAATCAGAATATGCTGGCAACATGGTCTCTCCCTGGCTGTAACAGAGATCAGAGATTCATAATATGCCAGCAACATGGTATCTCCTTGGATGTAACAGATATCAGAGAATCATAATTTGCTGGCTACATGGTCTCTCCCTAGCTGTAACAGATCAGAGAATCATAATATGCCGGATACATGGTCTCTCCCTGGCTGTAACAGAGATCGTAGAATCATAAAATGCTTACTACATGGTCTCTCCCTAGCTGTAACAGATCAGAGAATCATAATATGCCGGATACATGGTCTCTCCCTGGCTGTAACAGAGATCATAGAATCATAAAATGCCGACTACATGGTCTCTCCCTAGCTGTAACAGATCAGAGAATCATAATATGCCGGATACATGGTCTCTCCCTGGCTGTAACAGAGATCATAGAATCATAATATGCCGGCAACATGGTCTCTCCCTGTATGTACAAGAGATCGGAGAATCAGAATATGCTGGCTACATGGTCTCTCCCTGGCTGTAACACAGATTGAAGAATCAGAATACGCTGACTACATTATCTCTCTCTGGCCATAACAAAAATCAAAACAATATGCTGACTAAATGGTCTCTCCTTGGATGTAACATATATCAGAGAATCACCCTTACCTGCCTACTTACTCTGCAACACGTTCTGGCATGAAAAGACCCAAGAGGTTCAAAATCTCTTTGATTGTGTTCTACGCATATTGTTAGTTTTTTTTTTTTTTCAAATTGCATTGTTTTATATGGAGACTTAAGTATTTAGCAAAGACCGATATAAAATATGCAAACCATTTTTGTACGGGAGAAGTTTTTATTCTCAGCACTTTTTATAAAAAATAGATTTTGATCTCTCTGAAATTCGTCCCAATTTACCAACATTCCTTCCACTAAAATTGAAAGAAGTTGGTTTAAAAGTGTGACTGAACTGTACTGTTATCAACACAATTTAATGTGCGATAAATATAATTACTTGAGAACGATCTATTGTGTATTTAACATTCAAGTTACCTGTAGGTTACCGACTTGCCTTCTAATATGCGCCAGACTGGAGGGGTTGTATGCCATGTTGGCGAACACCAGTCTCTCCTCGTAGTCGTACTCGCACAGTATCTTGTTGTCACATAGATAGAACCTGTCTCCCACACAGAACCTGCAAATTACCATCATATTAGACTAGAAAGTTCAGAGCGAGTATCAAACAACTACGTCTACCAACATACATATACTGTAGTTTGACACTACCTGCCACTGGTAAAATACTACTGCTATTTACATTCTGTGCCTAGTTTCACGTTGTTTTGTGTTCATTCTTAGGATTTGAAAGAAGTCATAAGGAAGAAAGATATATCCAAGATATAGCTAAATATAGGATTAATACAGGCTAAAAACCATGACTCGCAGATCCCTAATGTAATCAATTACCATATGTTTTGTTACTATTTTAACATCATCCGGCGAGACTGTACAAATATAAAATTCATTTGTGGTTGTCATCATGAATTGAATCACAGTTAAAATCAAAAACATTTAATCTAAATTAACATGAAAACCAAGGAGGCCTAAAATCAAGTCACAAGCTTAACAGCAGCAAATCTGCAGCATGCAGTTGGAAGTTTGCTGTTCACTGACGACAAGGTCTACACAGTTTAAGTAATTCATGTTTGCATTTTCTGTGTTTTTAATGATCAATGCACATGTCCGTTGCTTTATTGTGTATCGTTTTGTGTTTGATGAGTATCTTCAATATAAATGTGTAAATAGCCTTTATTACTCATAGTTAAATAAGATAATAACTATCTAAATAAACATACATGTGTAAGTATTCGAAAACAAGTATTATTAAAAAAGATTTAATACTTTCAACACTACACTCGTTGAGAGTTAATCACCAAGAGATCTTTTCATTTATGTATTTAAAGATGAATGAAGGATAGAACAATATTATGTATGCAGCTATTTTACTGTACAGACTAACACCAGCTGCTTCTTTACCTAGAATTATTTTAGTAAGAGTTGAATTGTTATGTAGGATAGCTAGGTTCTTCTGAATTTTGTGAAAATGGAACCGTTGTCTTCCGATTACCAGGCGAGCACTCAACTGTGCTATCCAGTTAGGCTATATGCAACATTGGAAAACACGTTTGGAAGCTGAGGTTTAGTGTTCGACCATTCAACAGGTCGTCGAATCGGTCCTGAGAAATATCAAGAGCTTTTTTATAGTTTGACCTTGAACGATGGACTTTTAATAAATGCCCAGACATGTGATCCTATTTAACAAAGATACACAGACCGCCAACTTCATTCTACACTAGGCATGCATATTCAGCTTAAAATACGAAGACAAAGTTCATCACTGTTATATTACAGTGATCCCGTTATGAGTGACTGCTGGTAGACAACTACACAATGTGTTGAAGTAAAGATGATCACCTGTGATTGCACTGTTGACAGGCGAAGCACTCGAGGTGGTAAACATTGCTCTTGGCCCGCATCACCATCTCGAACGCAGGAATGACCTTGTTGCAAGCGGCGCAGTACCCCGTCGTTCCAAATAACCTGCAACGTTCAACAGAACATGACAATACATAAAGATATCTAAGACAAAAATGATAAATATTTACAAAATGTCGTAAGTTCTTACATTATTTCCGTGTTGATTTGACGTTGATCACAATCTTTGAAATGTTGATCTATTTAGTTTGAATTTAGAAAATGACTAAACTTCTTCTTTACAGATTCGTAATCCATGAAAACTGAAAGGTATATTTTGACCAAATTAGCAGATGGCGCTTGTTTAGTACTTATTGTTTTATTGTTTATTATTTAAGTAACTTAACGAACGATTTGAACTATTGGATTGTCCTCTGGTACTATAAACTAAGAGTAACCCCCAAATTAAAAATATACTTATTTAGTCACAATCTAAAGATAGCTTATGAACTTAAAGCTAATCAACAAGCAAAAAGGCTCCATGTTTTATAACATCATGAGAAGTCAACTTGCAATGGTTTTATTTTAAACTATTTAATTAAAGTCATTGTAATTCTTTCTGTGGCACAGATGATTGGATAAAAGAAAACAACATGGTAAATTTGAGATTTACAAAACTACGTGTTAAATGAGTTTTGCCACTACAACCAGGGGTGAGTTTAATAAATTTCAATAAATTTAAAGAACGCAGTATTCATTTACTACGCCTCTTATCTTTGAAAAGCACAGATTAAGCTACTAGTGCAATATAAATAAGAATTGTAAGTAATAAGTAACGAGGTCTGTTTTTACTTTTACATGTGCGATTTATTTATAGATTAAATTAGCCAAAAACGATGTTCGTCACTGCAAATAAACTAAAAAGGACCATTTATTTCATACGTTGACTCCAACTGTTTATTACTGCCACAATTAAGTGATATAATGGTGATACTACTACCGAATAAGGTTTTAATTTAAAAGTTTTAATGTATATTCACTGTATGTTAATCAATCGTTTTGAATCTATATAGAAATTGTTTTACTTTCGCAAAACCAACATCAGTCAAGTCAACTTTGGATGTAGGTCAAACAAAATTCATTTGACCAAGTAGGACGGGTTGTGAAAGAAACCCATATCAACAATTCAGTTTGCTTCAGACAATTTCCAATCATGAGTGTTTGTTATAGTTCAATTTAAAAACCAAGTTGATCATTCTTGTCTTCTAATTTTCTAAGTGTCACAATAAAATTGTCAAAAAAAATTGGTTTGACATCTAACATTCAATAAAATTAAACAATTCTGTATAGGGCGACGTGGGTACATATTAAATAAAGTGTCTTTGTATAACATATTAAAACGAGTTTACATCAAAAGGTATAATGTTGGAATCACATAAAAACTTTGATTTAAATTCTTTATAAACACTTACGATTATTCAGAGAGCTATTAATTTTCAACACACACTCTAACATTTTAATTTGAACTAACAACAAAACAGAAATGAACAATTAAATCTTAGATCAAGCTTAGCAACGAAAACAAGAACTGCAAACTGTATAAAATACTAACACTTGATTCAAATTACTATATTATTTGTACATAATAAACTGACAAATTATAAAATCAACCATAACAAATAATAATGGTTGGGAAAAAGAATGAGCAAGTGTTCAGGTGTGTAAATACAGTTGCCAATTGGGCATACGAACTATTATTTTTAACAGGTTCACTACCGGCGTCACACCCCTTCTATATGTATAGTACTGACACATTGGTGGTGAATGTGTTAAATGATTTGATTATTACATCAGAAAAACGCACCAAAGGGTGAAAATTTTTTATTTCAGGTTACAAAAGAATAAAACCTCTTAAAGGCGATTTAGTACTGTATTGCTAAATGTCAGTATGTATTAAGAATAAGTAATTATTGTAAACACGATCGTAACTTTCCAGGTTAAGTCAGTTAGGTTCGTCGAATCCGATTACAGCCTAGCTATTTTTTTTTTCCTAGGACGCTAGGTACGAGCCCGGGATTGTTTTTCACATTACTTCAGGCTAGGCCTAGGGGTTGCGGCATTATCATCTAGATAAAATCCATTGGTGACTTGGCGGGATTTGAACCCGGGTCCTCCACGACTGAAGTCCCGCGCTCTAACCACACCACACCAGCTCGCTCCCCAAGCCAAAATATATTAATTTGGAGTTAAACTTGATCGACAATCTCTGCAACATTGTATCTTCAATACCTATCTTTAATTACCTATTGTACGTATCTCTACCATCGATCTCTATTATTACTACCTCTACACAAGCTTACAAAAAAAAATACCTCTAGTTAATTTGTGTGTACACCGCTTGGACCAATCCGGAAAAAAATTGAATGGCCAACAGTTTGACGTAAGACATTAGGAATTGTGAGAATCTTATCTGCTCTTCCATTAGTTTTACAGCCTACAACCTTCTTGTGTCTTTTGCCTCTATTGAAAAACCTATCATCTTTGAAGGATTGCTTTTCTATCATGTAACCCCTATTGTTGTGTTGATATAACACAATATTATAAAATCTCTAACCTCAGGTAATCTCTTTTACAGAGTATAAGGTTCGCTTTGGTGTACAGAGTCGATCCGACTTCTCCCAGTCTGCAGTCACAACATCCACACTTGAGACAGTCCTCGTGCCAGAACAGGTCCAGAGCCTTCAGCAGGAACCTCTCAGTGATCCTCTTGCCGCACCCAGCACACTCCTTGACGTCCCCGGTAGAGGCTCCGCCCACCCTCTCTACACCACCACCTCCTGCGACAGAGGGGAAAAGTGGTTGAAGTTCGTGACTGGCTGTGTGATGAATAACCACGCAAGTCTACTTCCCCGTTTTAACATGCATATAAACAAAAGAGTGTAGCGGACAAGAGGTCTCTATCTCAATCCAGTAAAAAATGGCAGCCAATTGAAATTCTCAGAAGTTAAATTTAACTTACAGCTTTCCAAGTCTGGAGACCCGTGTATATTTTGTAACGGCTCACACTAGGAAAACTAAATTCTACACACCTTTTTGGCATGTTATGAAGTACTTTTTAAGCCTAATAGCCACTTGGTTCTCAAACTCAAAATGGGGGATTTTGGGGGAAACTCAAAAAGTTTAAACAATAAGCCCCATCGAGTGACCCCTCATTTTGAAGGTCCTGATAAAATAAAACTAACAACGCAAACGAGAGGTTTCTAGGTCAATCCAGGAAAAAATGGAAGCTGATTGAAATCTTTAGAAATCAAAAATAACTTTCAATTTTATATTCCATTGGCTGCTATATTTTACTGTGTTAAGATAGAGACCTCTAGTTTGCATTGTTAGTTTTCTTTTATCACCTTCAAAAAGAGGGGTCACTCAATGGAGCTTATTGTTGAAAACTTTTGAGTTTCCCCCATAATCCCCCAGTTTGAGTTTGAGAACCAAGTGGCTATTAGGCTTAAAAAGTACTTCATAACATGCCAAAAAGGTGTGTAGAATTTAGTTTTCCTAGTGTGAGCCGTTACAAAATATACACGGGTCTCCAGACTTGGAAAGCTGTAAGTTAAATTTAACTTCTGAGAATTTCAATTTGCTGCCATTTTTTACTGGATTAAGATAGAGACCTCTAGTTTGCGTTGATGTTACTAGGACCTTCAAAATGAGGGGTCACTCGATGGGTCTTTGTATTTGAAATTTTTGAGTTTCCCCCAAAATCCCCCATTTTGGGGATGTACACCAAATGGCGGTTACGCCATAAAGTACTTCATAACATGCCATAAAGGTGTGCCGAGCTTAGTTTTCTAGTATGGGCTGTTAAAAAAATAACAGGGGGTCTCCACACTTTTTACTAACCCTGTATATGAGGTTACATTACCTTGATCCATGTAATTGTAACTAACATGGATCACTTGGCGATGTATTGGTAATGTAACCTCATATACTGAATATTATATCACAGTGATTCAGGCAAAAACAACACACAACATGAAAACGTTGTTGTATATTTAATAAAACGAGAGTTTCATAACGGTATATTTTAATTGAATAATTGATGACTCTTATTCCAATTCTAAAGTCTATTCCAATCTAGAGTACGAGTAGGCTTACATAAATGAACTGCTTGATGATGTAACAAAAACGTTTTGGGTAATTTCTCAACACAAATATCATTTATAAAGGTTGTTTGTATGCTTCGCTCACCTTTATTTTTGCCCAGTGATGGCCAAAACTCGTCATAAACACACAAAAAATATAATATACAGCTTTTTGCACCTTCTAAATACCACCAGAATATCAATTCCCTTTCCTGAAAAAAATATATATTGCAATTCACTTTTTACCGTCTCAACCTTATCTCCTTTCCAAAAGCACAGTTAAGAGCTTAAACTAAAGGCAGAACATCTATTGCTCAACCTACCTACTGTTCGGAGAAGTCTGGACACCCAGCCCTGATCAAAAGACATATTTTTCTATCGAAGGTTAGGCAAAAAACACCTAGCTCAAGCAAATATTTCTATCACATAATATTATACCGCAGGACATCGGGTCTAGTTGCAGAGAGCGGGGCTTCGGTACAAGATGTTCCTTGTTAAAATCCCGCCAATTACTTAAAAAGTGTATCCATGTGATAATTCTTTAAACCACGTGCAGCCAGAAGTAATGCACAATACCAGTTCCATACTAAACCCAGAAATAGTATAAAAATACACACACAGCTATGCCACCCTACACCTTACTACAAATCTATTTTATATAGGGTTGACAGATTTCAAAACTCACCTGTGGCTACTGTGTCCGCCGTACTCAGCATGTCCAAGGCGGTCTGTCCCTTGACTTCCAGGGGCGATCTGCCCTTCACCTCCTGATATCCATGTTTCATTTGTATCCGTTCGTGTCTGGAACAAACACTCACTGTTAGACATAAATTGTATTACAGTTCTTGACTATAATACCATCATTAACACCGTGTATATAAAAATGTATATTGAAATTGTGTGAAACCTATTATTATTGTTGCAATACAAATATTTCAAAAACTAGTTATTGTTGCACAAGTTATTCCCATTCTGTTAGTTCCATAACTCAAAGTTTTTTTTCACCTGCCCTTAAAAACTTCAAAAAGTTAACTGAAATGCATTAAAATACTCAAAAAAGGGACAAGATTGTTCATTTATTTGTACCGTGTTTTTATTTAATATTTGTATGTGTGTCGTTCAGCTTTTACTTTTTGGTGTAAAAAAAAAAAAAACTGTTGGTCAGAGAAAGGTGACAAACATCAATATACATAATTGTTGAGCCTAGAAATAGCATCACTTTAAAATTACTAATACTTTAAAGTTACCCTCTGTTAAAGAAATAAAGTAGTTTAAGTCCAAATTAATCACACCAAATAAGCATTTATGTTTATACACGATTTTTGTTCAACGGTTAAGCAAAATAAGAAGATCATAGTCAACATTTCATTTGATATAGTTTTATAGGTAGGGTTTTAAGAAATAAACTTTTCAGGTCAAATTTTCACCCTATTCTTATTATCTTCTAAAACAATAAAAATGCCAGCATATCTAACAAATGGTTATTTTTACACAGAATCACAATATACTCAGCTGCTTTTCAACGAGACAATAGAAGTTAGTCAAATATGTGAAGAACACAATTGTTCAGATGGCAAAACATCATTCGTAGTTTGTGTGATAACAGCTGATAAAACAGCTGATCACCTGAATGTCGAGCTTTTGGAAATACCTGTCACCTAGGAAAACACCATAGTAGGAAAACACACGTGCTATTTGCGTGTTTATTAGTTTCACTGACAAGTAAATACAGTTTAAACGGCATCCTGGTTAGTTAGTTTATTGAAATTTAAAGCTTAATTTTTAAATTGTTGCCTGATAAATTTGAAATTGATTTATTGAGGACGATTTTAAAGTGTTGCTATGTGTTTCTTGATTATTCTTACAACATTTTTAGAAATGTTAAAAACTGTTCGATTTTGCTTTTGTATGGTATTTAGTAAACTTCGCAACGGAATAACCCCTCCAAGAGACCTATTGATTTTGATTTTGTTTATAATCTAGTGTATTAAAATAAATTATTTTAAATTATATCATTATGACAGTACTGATTTTATGGTAAGTTGATTCAGAGGGTTTCCAGTCCAGAGAGAAATATCCTTACCTCAAACTAAACAATATTTTTCAATTTTTTTATGGGTTCTGAACCAAACAGCCATGTTACATCTGTAAAAATCCATACACTTTATAGAGATTTCAACATAGGCCTCATACAAATAATTCCGCTATGACGACTAGGTAGTCCATGTACATTATGCAAAATAAACTAAAATTTCCTAAATGAAATTCATAGTTTAACGATAATATAGAATTACCATAAGTCTATAAAAACTGGACAGTTTTCATGTACAGCAAAATTAATTTCTCTTGACTTAAAAAAATTTATTCAATAGAAAAAATAAATAGGAAATTATGTACTTCACGTGACCGATTGAAATTGATTCAGGAATACCAGCGACCGGATCCGTGTTCAAGTGATAGAAATCAGATGCGCAAAAAGTTTCCGGATTCGTCACGCGAAAGAAAAAGTGTCGAGAATGACGCAGCTCGTCCACGGGGTCTAGTTCCCACGAGGAGTACAGAACACGTGAATAGAACTGTGAACTGTAAACTATATGAACCGATAGATACAATAGTTGTTTGAGCTTACATTTTACACAACAAGATCGTACTCTTTAAAATGGTCAGCCTCAAAAGAACTTTGATATGAAAAGTTTCATTTTATCCTAATTCAATAACATTAAAAGCATCAAAAAGTTCGAAAGATAAAGGAAAGACGCTTGTCACATGTTCCCCTCGTTTGAGAAGCAATTTGATTAATGGAACCTTTAAACTGAATGTAGGGTTGATATACCTAGATTACCGTGAGGTTATCCTAGGTTTGGTTCGATAACCGATCGTTTCAAAACTAAAGGTTCATTTTAAATACGATGTTTTTGTATATCATCCACCTCTGAGTCATCTTTAACAAAGAGTCTAAAAGACTTTTTGCCAATTAACAACACTAATTGGAAACGAATGGTGTTGCCGGCATATGGTGAGTCTTCATTAATTATGACTCACTATATATTGTTACACATTACCAACTTACTACATTTTCGAAACTATCTTTAGCCTCTTTTAAACAAATTAGCTCGAAATATCCAAGAGATTATAATCAGATAGGACAGGTGGTCATGTGATAATTCGAGTTTTTAGTATTAATTTCTAAGCCAATATCAGTGAAAATAAGCTATACGCTTATAAATCAAGCATTTTTTTTAGATGCTTAAATTATCTTTTATAATTTGCAAAAATATTGACTACTGATCTAAACTTTACACGGAGAATTAGCATTGAATATTGGTTACTGAAGTAGACATCCCATCTATATGGACTTGCTGACGTGAATTAATTGAAAAATAACATAGTTGTGTGAGCCAGTCACAGAATACGCTAGTGCTAGTGTATACTATTCTAGTTTCTACATTAATTTGTGTAGTAACACTAATTTATGGGGCAGTAGACCAAGTTCATGGGTCACAACACTTGTTATAGCTCACAATAAGTCATTCTATTACGACTTGACAAAAAAAGCTTGTTTCGAGAAAAAAAAACTTGAGCTTGATTCGACAAAATTTTTAATTTAGATCAGCAAAATCTGTGGCTCATATCAAATGACGATTTTGATAAAAAAAAAAAAAAAAAAAAAAATTAAAAAAAAACTGGCGTCAACTTTAACATGGGGATGGAATGTGTAGTTGTACAATTGTACAATAGTCAAAGGAACGAGGAAAGCTAATTCTATTACCACAAGAAAAAATTACATAAAAATAATTAACTTGTATACTTCTCAGATTTTTCAGTCTCGTTACATTAACAATATCATTCAAGGATATCTAACGCAACATTATTTATTAATTGATTAATGACATGTCATCTTCGACCTATAATTAACTATTAACTACTGCTGCAGATATTAGAGTAAGAGGTAAACAATATTTATCCATCATGTGTTTTAACATATTGTAGCAACCTCTCCACACTACTAATCTTGAACCTCTTGTAAACGAATTAGCCACTAGACATTAGAGTGGGAGGCGGCCATATGACGGCGTGTCGGCGATCCAATAAACCAAGAAGCGGTCACTCCAGAAGGCAATATCACTCACACCAATATAACGTATATCTGAATAACTTGTCCAGTATATTGCGCATTCTTCACCGCCTTATTGCCAAGCCAGCCTGTGTCGCCAACTCATATTACCTCTACACATTGATTCAATATAAATCTCAACGAAAACCAATATCTTTGGGGTCGTATTACTTCATCGCTTTTTAATTTCGTCCGTACTTATGAGCAATATTGTCCAAGTTATTTGTGCGTGGGTGTAGTTTTGACAAATGTATATTCGAGCTTATTACAAATTCATTTTTGTGGATTGCAGTAGGTAGAATTGTATGTAGTCGTTTCTTGGTTAAAGTTTGTAGATTTTAAATTGCGTAGTGGGAAATGATGCATTCCAATAATACGTGTCATTTAAATTAATATTTATTTATTTTAAATGATTTATATATATTTTTAAGCAGGTGGCTGAGTGTTTATAGTGATAATGAAAAATGTAAAAGGTTGCCGGCTCAATCCTGACAAAGGTCAATACAATTACGATGTTAAACGTAAACCCAGCAGTCCATGATTATTGGAACTTTAATGAATGGTACAAATAAACAGATAATCTTGTAGGTAATTGTAGGTAAAAAAGCGTTGCATTAAATTTAATCTTTTCTAATTTTGTCTTATTCTGTCTTATTTCTTCTTCTTCCTATCACTCTGCATTCAATTTGGTTCAGAATTATAAAATAGGTACGTAGGTGTCTTAATGAAGTGACCTGGTCAAATTCGCCAATCTTGATCAAATCGTATGCTCAATTCATCCTTCTCACTTAGTTAGAGAAAAACTACTTTAAGCCAATACTTTAAAACACTTCAGTTTTATGAGCAAAATCAGACTAAGGAATCGACATATTATTAATAATAAAAGTATTATTACTAATGGAAATTCACATCAACATTGTAATTTACTGTTCGACGTGTACCTAGTACACCTACGTGATCATTGTTGTTAACTTTGTCGCCGAATACAGGCAAAGGTCAGCTTTGTTTACAGATATGACGTCTTAGATGGTTAGACGCATGTATCTTGTGAGGCTTGGTGACGTCAGACCCGCAGAGCATCACGGGAACTGACGTCAGACGCGCTGAGCATCACGGGAACTGACGGCAAGTGACGGGCCAAGTGAGTCGGAAAATTGCCAATTGTGTTCCAGTCACAATTCACAAAATACTCCGCCATATATAATTTCAATCAGGCTTGTTGTTTTGCTAGCTCCTGTCGGTTTCTGACAATAGTATCGATATTGCTGGGATGCGATCTTCAGGTGATACGTCTGAATCGAAACATAAACTACGTTGTTGGAAACATTTCCAAAGCTTAAGACAATGTTACCTTCAGACTGATACTTCTGTATATGGCGATGCAGGGATCGCGTATGCAATAAAATTTATAAAATTAAATGATTACATTATTCAACCACAGTTGTTTCGTTCCTTAAAACTTCATCAGGTCATTTTGTATGCAACCAAATCGTCAATGTATTGATTGCGGTTAACCACAATAGATTGTGATATGTAAATAGATCCTTTAAAAACCTGCCACAATCACAATACTTGAAACTTGCAATTTTGATATTATAGTTAAAATGGGATTAAACATTTTGATAAAACTGATTAAATGCAGGCTACTGAATAAATAAAACTGACTCTGTCACTGTGATTGTGACAG